CTCCTACCTTCACAGAAAAGCAGGCTCCTGGGATTTTTTTCTTTCTGTATTTCACAGTCTGAGATGATTCAGCCCTGGAGCTGTACCACTGCTGGGGAGCTTTCATCTCCAATGATGCTTTGGCTGATTTCATTGCTTGGAGAATGAGTGGGGCCAGGATCACCATTCCCATGATTCATCCTTCAGGCTCTTCTGCTGCTACGAACTCTGAGCCTTCTGTGCTCAGCCGGGTCCCTGCAGTCCCTCAGATCTTTAAAGCTAATGCTAAGGTAGGTGTTTCCACACCTTGTGCTACCCTCGCTGCAGCCTGTGTGTGCTCCACCACCAAGGTCTCCATAGCCTTCCTTGCACAGAGGCCAAAGAGTGTTCTTGGCCCAGTGACCAAAGCCTGGATGAGTTTGCTGTTGCTTTTTCTGCTGCTCCCAAGCTAAAAAGGCTTCAAAGACCCATCATCCAAAGCTAGACCACAGAGCATCTTGCCTTCCAGTACCTGAAAGGAACCTATGGGAGGGCTGGAGAGGGACATTTTACAAGAGTGTTCAGTGATAGGACAAAGAGAAATGGATTTAAACTGAAGGCGAATAGGTTATATTGGATCTTAGGAAGAGATTCTTCAGTCTCAGGGTGGCAAGACTCTGGACTAGATTGCCCAGAGAGGCTGTGGCTGCCCCCTCCCTGGAGATGTTCAAGGCCCGGCTGGATGAGGCCTTGAGCAACCTGGTTGAGTTAAGGGTATTCCTGCCCGTGGCAGAGGGGTTGGGTTAGATGATCTCTGAGGCCCCTTCCAACCTAAGGCATTCTAGGATTCTACAGTTCTATGATCTTCAGCTCGTTCCAGGTAGGGAGAGAAGAAAGGGGCAGAGCAGGAAAGGAAAGAGCCCGTCTAGTGGCAGACTTTGAAAATATCCCTGACGTTGGGCATGGCTGGATGAGATCAATGTCTTTTGAGCCTGCGTGGGTTTGTTTGGCTAGGGGTAATTGGGATCAGCTCCTGATGTGAAAAAAATTATAGTAGCTATCAGACACACACAGAGAGAATAATGAGAGAGTGAAAACAACGTAAATGACAATCTTGGCTCAGAGAACGTTTCCTTGTTTAACCTATTCCACTCAGGTTAATTACCAGTTGGGATATTTACTGCAAAGTGTGCTTTTTCAGTTGATTGCTGCGGTTGTGCGGTCACTTCTGCCTTGGACTACAGGGACACGCTCTGGAGATTACTTTCTCAGAGATGACTTTCTCTCTGTTCCTGTAAGAGTTCCACCTCTTCCTCCCCTTCCCATGTTCTTGTCCTAATGTGTTTAGTGCAGAGGTGCTTTAGGAGAAGGTGTGTCACTCTTTCTAGTCTATAAATTAAGTTCAGGGTGAGTGGGTCAGTGTGATAAGGCTGTGTTTTTTGAAGATGAGTTTACGGCAGAAGTGTTCCACCCTGGACGGGATGGGTGAAGTGAAAAATGCTGGTTATAGAGGCTGGTGACATACATGCACGACACAGGAGTAGAGTCATCCCTGTCTTCTTACTGCTCTTCTTGCAACACACCCAAGACATGATTGGTTTTTGGAGGGGGAACCCTCCGATTTCCCCAAGGATGGTGGAGAAGACGTGGACCATGCTCTTAGTCGAGATGGTTTTGATTCTTCCCACCTTCCTCTTCATCTCCTTGACCATGCAAGGTTTGGCTTGGGGAGCTTGTGTTGGTCAGTCAAAACATCAAAACCAAAACATTTCATAGAACAAAATTACTGGAACAGTATTTTTAAATTATTAGGGTTTTTTTGGTAGAAGAACTGAATGGAAACATTTCTCAGTTATCAAAAGGTTTTCTCTGGTTATTTCTATCTGACAGAGTATCCAGTTCCCTTACTTAGAACAACTGTATGTTTAAGAGAAGTGCTATTAGAAAGAAAAGCAAAAAAAAATACTCAAAACAATCCTCAAAATTAAAAAAAAAAAAAAGGTGGGAGGGAAAAATAGCAATCGCTTACCAGGAAATGTTCCTGAGCTTGTAATACAAGCTTTAATGAATAGTTGTAAAACCACTGAGGTGAACCTTTTCCTTTCTCTACTGTGACAAAACCCTAAGAGCTCGCCCATTCGGCTGTAGCCATAGAGAAAAAAACAAACACAGCCTTCATTTTCCTCTTTGGCTTGCTAAAATTATAGCAAAGAATATTTGGGTGTTGGCTCAGACATGAGGAGGAAAGGAGCTGCCCTTGTTTTGGGAGACGTAGTATCATCTCCCTTTCTTCTCTCTATTATTCAGTCCACTAAAAGACAATTATTCGCCCGCTGAAATTAGGCGGTCTCCTGCTGCTTCCTCGGTTGGGATGGGAGAAGTCACCCTTGCTCATGTTAGAAAGCTATTTTAGACTCCTGTTTGCAATTCGCCCCCAAAGCGAGAGGATGAGGTGCGGCAACTGACAGCCCAGGCCTCTGTCTTCTCTTACCTGGGGACACCTCGGTGTCCTGACTTTAATGGCCAGGAGGGGCAAGCTCTGGAAAATATGGGGCTTGCTGAGCCTTCACCCCTTCGAGACTGGGAACATCAGGCAGAGCCAAGGTGAGACCAACTGGTTGAGTCAACCAGCAGCAGTTGGTGGGGAACTCAACCCTAGGTCCCAAATCTGGGGCTTTCTCCGCCGCCTCATTCTCGAACAATCGCGTTTTTCAGAAACAACAAAACTTAACGAGAAGTGACCTCTGAAACAAGGCCAAGTCAAGTTGTTCTGGCTATGGGTTGTGAAGGGGTGGCCATGCCTCCTCTTAGCCATGAGGAAGATCCAAGCTTGGGGCCACGGTGGTTCCTGGAGAGCTGTCCTGTGCTGAGGGACGCCTTGAAGTGGTGGCATCAGGGAATGGGTGACATTCAGGCAATTAAATGGAGCTGCCTCATGTCTCAGCAGGGTTTCCCAGGCTTGGGCTCACCTTCTTTCCAAATTGCAGCTGCAGGCAGCAAAAGCATGAAGCTCAGATGCAAAATTAACCCCACCTAGGTGGGCTCCATCTCATCCAAATGTAGCCACCTAAAACTTATATAAGCTGCTGGACTAGGTTCCCCGATTTGAGAGAGGGGCTCAGATGGAGAGCTGTCCACCTCATCTAACCAGTCTGACATGCAGAGGGTCAAAGCTAGATGAAGTAGCTTCCACCCTTAGCATAGAAATGACATCTCCCCAAAGGCACTTATCTTCTTCCTTGCGTCAGTCTTTAATATTCCCTTTTCTTTTTTTTCAGGTTGCAATTAGAATTTCGCCCTGTGAGCACAGGGACGTGAGTGGTGCTGTGCGACCTGTAATTCTTCGTGTGCTTGGAGACAGGGAGAAATTCTCTGTGATGATAGCGTCTGCAAATCCGGCGGGTGACGGGCAGGGTGGATTCATCTGAGGACAGGCAAGGCGTCTCGCATGGTGATGTCTCCATTTTCACTAATGCCCCTGCCCCCGGGCTGCCTGCAGAGATCTAATGGATGCAGTCAGTAGAGTCTAGATCTTGATGCATTTCATGGCAAATGAGGTGCTGGAGTTGGGTCAGATGAATCACCCCATGGAAATGTTGCCATGAAACGAGCACCCAGCTCACATGTCAAGCCTCTGTGTGGGAGACTTCGAAACAGAGGAGAAGTCAATCCCCCAACACGTTATGGCCGAGGAGATGTCATAACTTCTCCTTTCAAGGGCTAAACGCCACATTTGGTCAATTATAACGTGGCTGAAGCAAAGGTTTTCACGGCTGAGATGCCCGTGACTCTGGCAGAGCACAGCCCTCGTCATCAGCCCGTCGAGCCAAGACGGTCGACGCTGGCACCCGCCTTCATCCAGAGGGATCAAACAAACACCTCGTTCTGAGGTTGCAGCAGTGAGTGAAGCCACAAGCCAGCAAACTTGTCGCAGAGGACATCTCACAGCGCTCAGAACTCTTTTCTGGCAATCTTTGACACCAGCTGTAACTCGGGCCATAAGATATCTTGTAGGTGGTGCGATATAAACGAAAGAGGACCAACACCACTGGACTCCTGAGTCCCCAGCGGGCTCCAGACTGCCTAAAGGGAATCGAAAGGTCTGTGTGGTTCATTCTTTCCCCCACAGGCTGCAAAAGAGTACTTCTTCACCCTTTTAGAAATCTCTTTAAACAAGATAAAATTCAGAGGCGAAGCGTCTACTTTCAAAGCAGTTTATTGAAGGCGCAGTGAAAAGCTGGGAAGTTTGAGGGGTCAACGAAAGAAGCCCTGTTCGTGTGAGCACAAGGTGTCAACTCAGCAGATTTATGCACCAATAACTTCCCTTGGCATTCTGGGGGGGCAGGGTTGAGGGGGTGAGCTCTTCTAAAAATCAGCACGCTTTGAACTAGCCACCCCTAACATGCAGAAGCAAACGAAGAATTACTACGTAGTCATCTGTAAGCAAAAAAAAGCCCGTGGCCACGAGTGTGTAACGAGCAGGTGCTTTGGAAGCTGAAATTGCCTCGTTTAACATTTAAGCTCAGATTTGCAGCTCAGGGTTTCTTCTTTGAGGAGAGGGGGAAAAAAAGAAAACAAGGAGCAAAAAGGAGCATGCTTTTTGCAGCGCCTCCTGGGAAAGTTAAATCATCACTCTCTTTTCTGAAATGCTTTGGGAGGAGCTGGAAGAAAAAAGAGGTGTCTGGTAAGGAAGAACGACGTCAATGAATCTGCTCGTATTGGGAAAAGCCAGAGAAAGAAGGGAGCACAGCAAGCAAACCCTTGAAGCTCTGTTAATCTAGGCAGCATGAGCTCAGAGACGTAACACTGTGTTGAGCACCTGCTGGAGAATCTTGCTTAGATGTGTCTTCAGGGTTGGGGATGGGGGCAACGTAACTTGGCGTGGGTGTATTGCCGATGCTGATAAATGTGGGAGTGGGCTTGGTGACAAGTGTTGCTACTAGTGGGTGGAGAAACTATCCTGCGTCATCTCAGCGGTGGACACCGCGTGCCTTAAAGGGTCGCTCTCCAGTGTGGCCGTGCCACCTCCCCAGCTCAAGGCCCTACGGAACGACACAAGGGTCTCTGACCACGCCGAAGCCCCCCACCACGCCGTTGTTGCACCCCACGACTTCGGGGCTGTTTGCAGCAGCGACGACAACAGGCGAACCCCCCAGCTGCCTGATGACGCAGCCTTGGTTTCCGAAGCTGACCACCCCACTGGCTGGGCAAGCCCCCATCCTGGCATTCAAGCCCCCGTTCCCCGTGCTGATGACGGTGCGGGCTGGGTAACCCCCACTCCGGGAGCTGAATCCCCCATTTTTGCAGTTGACCCCTCCGGCTTGGCAATAGACCTCTGGGACGCACTGCTTGGCCACCGAGCTAATGACTCTCTTGGGGTGGATCCCGGCGCTCCGGGAGCTGAATCCTCCGTTCTGGGAGCTGTGTCGTCCTGACCGTCTCCCCAGGGTGCCATAGCCGCACGCGGCCCCGTTTGCAGCCAACATCCCGCAGTCGTCGGGGATGTTGTAGCCGCTGCTGACCACCGCTGTAAGACAACCCACGGGGTTAATTGTTCGGAGAAGAAAACTGGAAGAGTCTCCCAAGGCAAGTTGTTTCATGAGTGACAGAACCGACCAAACCTGATTTCCTCCAGATTTGTCCAACGTATCTGAGCCCCTGCTCCTTCCAACTCCTCCCCCATGTCCCAACACATCCCCTCACAGATCCTCCCAGTTCCCACGTTGTTCTTCTGGCTGGTGGCGTATTCTATCCCAGATCCAACGCACGGCAGGTTCCCCAGGAGAGCTCAACATTGCCTCCGAGAACAGAAAAGGGTCATAGATTTGACCATCCCCCCTCTACCCAAAAGCTGATTTTAATTTTTATTTTTTTTTAATTCAGAGGAATTTGAGATTTCTGAGACTAAACCTCCAACATCAGCCTGGGCTGAAATGGAAAAGGGAGGGAGCTGGGGCAGAAAGAGAACGCTACTCTGCAACCTGCCTCTCCTAAAATGAGAAACCCTCGTGGCTGAAGGTGCTCAGGGTACTTACACACGCTCACTGGGTTCCCCACGCATATCCTGCCAGGGGAGAGAAGAGAAACACATGTTATCCTATTAACCAATTGCATGCACACGCAGAAACATGGCATTACTCGTAACTTCCAGCCATACATCAAGCCCACTTAAAGCCTTGTTGTGACATGCCTGACTATCCCTAGGACAGGAACTGTTTTTGCTGGCAGAAGAGTGGCCTGTGTGGCCTCCAGCCATCTCTCCAGCCCTAGTTTCTGTGAGCCTGGGAGGATCCTGGAGCTTCAAAGTTCACTGGGAAGCTGGAATCACTCTGGCCTCTGATATACAGGAGGGAAGGGACAAGTTCTCTATCACCCACCTGCTCTCTTCACCCTCCAGGAGGGTCTTGTACGTTGCAATCTCAATGTCCAGGGCCAGCTTGACGTTCAGCAGCTCCTGGTAATCCCTCAGCATGCAAGCCAGCTCATCCTTGGCCTTCTGGAGGGCGTTCTGCAGCTCAACATGCTTCTCCCGGGCGTCTTTGAGGGCGCAGTCCCCACGTTGCTCAACATCACAGATGGAGGTTTGCAGGCAGGAGACCTGTCAGAGGGAAGGATAACAGTGCAGACATCTTCAAGGCTTCATTTCCTAATTCCTGGACATTATACATGTGGATTAATCCACTCTTCCAGTTGCAAACAGAATAGAAAAAAAAAACCAAAAAAACAGCATCCCTTTTCTCCATCCATTTTTCAACTATACACTTTCCAACCACAGCCAAGAGCAGGTCTTAAGTCTACTAAGGGCCAATGCATCATCCTTCCCCCTGTGTGAGCTGTCCTCCAAGACAGATGTTTCTGGAAACATCGGCCCTGGGTCTCTCCTACCTGCTTCTTCACATTCTCCAGTTCACACTGCAGCTTCTGTATCATCCGGGTTAGCTCTGAAATCTCACACTTGTTGCTTTGCAAATCGTCGCAGTACTTGCCTCTCTTGTCCTGAAGCTCCTGAAACTGGAACCAAGAAACAATCGTTGGTTTTGACCTGTTACGTGGCCAGGCAGACACCCAGGTTGCTCCATACTCACCCTGGTTTGGTAGAAAGCATCAACTTCTTCCTTGCTCTTCTGAGCTATTTCTTGGTACCAGCATTCAACGTTCTTGATGATGCTTTCCATGTCCAGGTCCCGGTTGTTGTCCATTTTCACAATGACAGAAGTGTCACATAGCTGACGATCCACCTGAGCTCGTTCCTGCATGTTGGGGAATGGCTTAGTCAGCTGTTAGCAGCTCGTAATGAGCGAAGGGCTGGGACAAGGAGCCACCCCGCTCAGCTGATGGATGTAACAAGCCAAGAAATGTCCCTTAAGTTGGCTCAGCAGAAAGTCCTCTGTGCGGGATGAGTTGCCACATGTCAGCTGCTGGCCTACATGCTGACCCACAGCAATTCTGTCCACATCAAGGGCGAGGAATTTACGCCTTGGCATCCTGTCATCTTCAACTGCTTTGCTGCTGCTAATGACAGGATTCACCCAGGAGTTTCTTTAGCTCTAATCAGACAACTGGAGTAACGAGACAGACGCATCTCCTTTCCCAAGGGCAGAGTTAGGACACAACCAATTCATACCTGGAGCCGCATTAAGAAAGGGGAAACCACCCTATTTCCAGCATAATCATGTTAATATTATATCAGCTTTGTACCTCCAAGCATTCAGAGCTTGGGATGAGACATGTCCAAGAGGGGTTTCAAGCTGTAGAAATTTGGAGTGCCTGGAGGATGAGACAGCACCTGGGACAGACCAGAGGAACTCACCTCCTCAAAGACACATTTCAACAACTCCAGCTGCCTTCTCAACAGATCCACCTTCACCTCCAGCTCTTCCTTGTTCAGAAAGATACAGTCTGCATCCTGAAAGAGAGAAGACACCTTCCAGCCCGATCTCTCTGAAAACGTTGGAGAAACACACAGAAGACAAGAGACAGCACCAATAAAACAGAAACAAGTTCCAACAAGATCTCAAGAGCAGAAAGGTGTGAGAGGGCGAGTCAAGATGCCCTGTTGTCTCCTAAAGGAAAACAAAACCAACGTGATTTACAGGAATTAGTTTATTTATTACTTAGGACCTGGCTACAAACTCAGAATTGACTAATGAGTGTTTAAGTATAATTTTTTAATATTGTTCAAATGATTTCTGCTTTTCTGATGTCCGAGCATAAAGGATGTGAAGAGTCGGTCGGGAAATAACCATTGTCTTGGACACCAGGTCTTCCAGTGTGACCTGTCCCAATCTGTCCCCCTCCTACAAGTGCACCCACCCATACACCTCCAGAGCGTGCTTGGGATAACGAAACTATTGCTGTAATGCCGATGATGTAAGCTGTGAGGAGACATTATTTTTACTTTCTACTTTCATTTGCCTATTTTTTTGACCCTGTCTCTCTTTCCAGGCCTCCCTCCTGCTCATCATAACACTTTTGCCAGTCATTTCCTAATAATGCGCTATTTCAGTCAAGATTTACACCAAATAGATCTATTACGGGTGTAACGATTCCTGCCTTTTCAGCTTCTCACCTTTTTGAGGGCCACAAACTCATTCTCCACAGTTGTACGTCTGTTGATTTCCTCTTCATATCTGTTGGGGAAAGGAGAAGGACTGAGTGATCAGACACACAGACATTAACCATCAGGTATAAATAACAACCTTTGCTTGCTCAGAGGCTGCCATCAGGCGCCGTTAAGATCAGTGTCTGGAGACCAGACATTAGACCATCCCAAGATCAGAAGCTCCTTCATGAGCAACAACATTACCAATGCAAAGAGTTCGCAAGTGAGACAGAGGAATGTGACATCCCCAAAGGGGATGTGCCACATGTCTGGGAGATGTGGCCTGAGATGAACTGGAGGAGAAATGAAATGCCAGCAGCTGGAGGAGACCTGAAGGTCCTTACTTGCACTTGAACTCCTCCACCAGCTGGCTGGTGGCACACTCCTCGCTGCCCAGCTTTTGCTTTTCGCACAGCAAACAGTCCAGGCGCTTCCGCAAGTCGCAGATGTAATTCTCAAAGTACAGTTCCAGGTTTTTCCCTTTCTTTGGGAGGACGTATTGCTGCAGGAGGCCCCACTTGGTCTCCAGCACTTTGTTCTGCTGCTCCAGGAATCGGACCTGCAGGCCAAGAAACAGCAATTTTACAAATAAAGGGAGGAGTGCAACAAACTCGATCCCTGGTTTAACTGTCTGTCCTGAGTGTGAAAGTAAAGATGTAAGAATAGGGGTTTGGGGAAGGGAGACATGATACACCACAACGATCCTAAAACTATCTGCCCTTATTTAGAAATCTCAGAGTGACCTGCCTAAATTGTGTAAAAATCTAAAAGTCACATGTCTAAATCTGCCTTTCTCAACAAAGAGTAGAAATAAAGCTCCTCCGGATGGTGCCTCTGATATGTTTGAGGATGAGATTGAGTTCCCTGAGGGTGGAATATCTTTGTCTCTGGTTTTTCTACAAAGGGATCTTAAGGTGACAGCTCAGAAGTGGATATCTAACATTTAGGTGCCTGAATCAAGATCATTCTCCTTTACCTTCATTAATGTTTTTGGAACAGTTAACATATTTAAAGATAAAATGAGGTGAAAGGGTCTAACAAAGGACAGAAGGATGAGCCCATTGGGGCTGTAATTTCAGGCTGAGCTAGAACAAGGCTGCGATGAGAAATCCAGCCTTGAACTGAGGCCATCCAGAGAGGAGACACCTGCGAGGGGATCCAGTGCCACCACGGCCATGACACAAACACCAACAAACGCTAGGACGGGTGTGCAGTTAAAACGAGCCTGTCCCCAAGGCTGAAGACCTCACTCTGGACCAGCACCACTCTGGAGGAACCTGGACCCACCCCAGCTGCTCCTGGCATAGGCTAGACCAAGGATTGGGAGGAGGTTGACTCTGTTCTATTTTTCTCGAAGTGCAGAGCAGGTTGGCACTCACCTTGTCGATGAAGCAGGCAAACTGGGTGTTAAGGGTCTTGATCTGTTCCTTCTCCTGACAGCGTATTTCATGTTCCAGTGGGTCGACCCCGACACAAAGGGGCTTCAGGAGCCGTTCATCGATGCAGATACCTTGGATGCCTTCAGCCTTGCGCTCGGGGTAACCTCTCACGATACTATATCCCCTGGGACCACAGAGGCCAACCCTTCCTCCAACGTTACTGTAGCCTACACCTCCAAAGCCAAACTCCCCGAAACATCCTGGTGCGCAGACCCCGTTGACGTAGGAGATTCTCCGGTTTCCCCCCAGGTTGCAGACACTCCGGCTGCTGTAGGCACCAGCTCCGCACCGGACAGGTTGGCAGGCAGAGGCGGCGTAACTTCGGCCACAGATCTCCGAAGCCGAGCTGAAACCTCTTCGTCCCAGGACGGATCTCACCGTAGGTGCCTGTCTGCTCATCGTGGCTTGTTTGAAGGTGGAATATGAAAGTTTAGGGGGAA